ATATTTACTGGCCCTTTAAGTTGGGAATCTTCATTCTCATCTATACCTGTTATCCTTAGGTTTGGTCTTCTCATTTTGTCCTGGATTTCCTGGATGTTTTGAGTTAGGAGATTTTTGCATTTTCTTTGACAACTGTGTCAATATTTTCCACCGTATCTTCTGCATTTGAGATTCTCTCTTCTATCTCTTGTATTCGGTTGGTGATGCTTGGGTCTATGACTCCTGATCTCTTTCTTAGGTTTTCTATCTCTATGGTTGTCTCCCTTTGAGCTTTCTTTATTGTTTCTATTTCCATTTTCAGATCCTGAATGTTTTTGTTTAATTCCTTCTTTGTGTTTTCTTGCATTTCTTTAAGGGATTTCTGTGATTCCTCTTTAAGGGCTTCTACCTGTTTACTTGTACTTTCCTGTACTTCTTTGAGGGAGTTACTTATGTCCTTCTTATAATCCTCTATTATCATCCTGAGAAGTGATTTTAATTCTGAATCCTGCTTTTCAGGTGTGATGGGGTGTCCAGGGCTTGCTATATTGGGAGAACTGGGTACTGATGATGCCAAGAAACTTTGGTTTCTGTTGCTTATGTTCTGTGTTTGCCTTTCACCATCTGGTTAACTCTAGTGTTACCTGCCCTCACTGTATAAGACTAGAGTCTGTATTTCCAGCTATCTTGCTTGTTGCAGAGCTCCTCAGAGTCCAGATGTCTCTGTGGTCTTATGATCCTAATCTCCTGGGTGGAAGAACTCCTGGGACTCAGGCCACCTCTTGGATCCGGAAATCTTTCTGCTCTGGGTGCAGTGGTTCCTCTAGGATGGCTCAGGATAGGATGTCTCACAAGTGCAAACCACTTTGGTGTCTGCTGCTCTGAATGCAGTGGCTTTTCGGCTGCTCTGAGTGCAGTGGTTCCTCTAGGATGGCTCAGGATTCAGTATCTCCACAGGAGCAGACCAACTCTGTGTCTGCCCCAGCCCAAAGGACCAGGCAGGGGCAGAAGGGAAGTGAAATTCCGGAGGGGCAGGCTTTGGGTTGCTGGTGTGTCCTGACTGTCCCTGGCTCCCAGATGTATCTCTGGGGCTTAGGGAGTGAGATTGAGTTCTTACCGGCTGCTCTGAGTGCAGAGGGTCCTCTAGGATGGCTCAGAATTCGGTATCTACACAGGAACAGACCAACTCTATGTCTGCCCCAGCCCAAAGGACCAGCCAGGGGCAGAAGGGAAGTGGAATTCTCTAAGAAAGTCCTTGATACTAGACAAAAGTGTATGCTGGTAAAAGAAAACCAAAAACCAACCAACTAAACCAACAAACAAAATCACAAAAGAACAAACTATTGTCATTAATTTATGTAAATATTTAGTCCTAGAGAAGAATGTGCAGTTGCTGTTTCTTGTTCACCATGTTATCTTGATATAACCACAGAAGCAGTAAGATAATGAGACTGGTGATGAAATAGAAACATAGATATTCTAGACCATGTCAACATTGCTTCTAATTATAATAAAAAAATTGCTCAAATTTAACAGGCAAATCACATGAAACAAAATGCTGACATTTCAAAATTCTTGACAAATGTCAATCCACTCCAACAAATATAGGCTGCACTTAGATTAAGATCTTATCAGGAAAGATGTAGTAATTTCTTGGTATTTATATGAAGAACCCTCAATATAACCTAACAAAACACACCTACTTCTAGTGCACTACATTTAATGTGAAATGTTACTGAGTGAATGAATGTAGAATAAATTTCCACAAGAGGAAAATCACCCTTAATCAATACTTTAATAGTAAACATTATAATTGTATTTACTCATCAAAATATCAATTGACATGTTAAAGAAAACAAAGTAAAATCAGCCACATTTACTCTCATTTTTTGCTGTATGGTTTATTTTTTAATACAATGTGAACTTGCGAATTCCAAAATACCGACAACAAAAAACAGAAGCATAAAATAAAGGCAGTCACTGTCGTCTAACCTGTGATCATGATGTTAGAGCAGCTTTTACGGAATTTCTCAGAATAACTCAGATGCATCCAATTACTATATATGCAATATTTTCTCTGTCCCTGGGCAACCCTTAGACATTAGGGTATATACAAAGATCATCAATCAAGGGGATAATTTAGCCTATTGATCCCACAACACTGCCCCAGAGATCTGAGAAAAGCAAAAGCAACAGCTGTGTTTGGGTACAAGGTGGTCATGGCTTTACCTGATACTCTCAAACAGTTAATAGGAGTGTGCTTTAACCAAGGAATTTAGATTTTTATCAAATAGGAAATGCTCTCTTCCTAATCGGGGTACCTTTTTGTATCTTTAAAATATAATGAATAATGCATATTTATACTATAGATGTGCACTATTAGTGCAAGTAACACTTGAATTTGATAGTCTTCCACATGTGACTATGACTCTAGGTGTTAAAATTACTTGAATTCTCTCATAAAATTTCTATTTCAAATGAAAAATTATCTACATAGTATTACTGTTTTCCAGTATATAAAACTATATTTTATTATATAATAAACAGCCAAACCTAGCCACCCTATGGGAACAAAGATGACAGATACTTGAGGAGAATAAGGATCCTTCATTGGTGGACACTGATGGCGGTGATGATGATGATGATGATAATGATGATGATGACATCATCCATTTCCATAAATGCAAGATCTCTTTTAATCATCTTTTTGACTAAGGAAAGTGAAGCCACCAAGTTTAGTAAGAACTCATCTCTTCCCTTTCCCTTGATAACCTTCACCATTTAATTGCAAGCAAAGCAACAAGAAATGAGTGGAAGGGGAAACCCCGGTAACGAACAAAGAGCAGAGGCCCAGACTCCCTGTCCTGTGAAGGTTTCCAGGTCTTAGCTGATGAAAGACAGATTTTATACTAAATGAAGTTGTGAAGATTTAAAAAAAAATTAGGGGGTTATGCCTTCTAATTGCTAGACCAAGAAAGACTATATGACTCAAAATGACGTAGAGATTTTTTATTTTATTTTTTATGATTAAAAGATGTACAGAGGGTTGTGTATGTATCTCCATTGGTAGTGCGCCTGTCTGGCATACAGGAAGGCCTAGGTTCCATGCCCAGCATAGATAAAAACAGGTGTGGTTGTATAAGACTATAACCTCAGCACATAACACTATTGTTTAACAGCAGAATCAAACTCTCTATGAGTTATTCTTTAGCATATAAGAGTCAGAACTAACAACCAAAACTTGAGGCAAAGTGTTTAGTTAAGTTTTAACCTGGAGGTAGAACAAAATGCTGATAAGTAATTTTCTGACTAGGATAATCATTTAAATTAAACATGAGTGAGGTGAAGGTGAAGAAAGTTAGAGAAGAATGAGACAATGCAGGAATCACAAGCGCCTGTATTTCTTACTTCCCAACGTTGTCCTTCCACTGAGCACATGTGCAAACTCATGTTCAGTTGAACTGGAAAGGAACATAGGTTCTTGAAATTTGTCAATGGAAATAAATCCAAATACCTTTCAAGTGTATATTGAATTCTAGATAGGAGCTTTGGCTTTAAAGCTTTCAGGAAGATAGTTGTAATCAGATCTATGTATTTCAAAAGGTCTGGAGAGATTTATGACCCAGCTGAAGAATCATGATGTAAGTATCTGCCTGCAGACCTTATAGTGTTGTAGGGCTATTTCTCGACTTTGCTACTACAGAACATTTCCCTTTTAGTGGGTTTAAAGTCAGAAGCAAGTTGTAGACATCAAACAATGTTACACTGCTTTTCTTTATTTAGTCTAACAAATAAAATAATGATTTCAGATTAACAGGTTTGAATGAGGTCTGAAAGATCATATTATATAAATTCCCACTAAATACACTAGTCTGCTTACCGCATTCAAGTGTTTGCCTCTCTTATTTCATAAACAATAATTTAATAATCTCTTTATATCTTCACAAAACTATGTGATTTTTTTCTTATGCTAAAATCGGTGGCTTTATAGTTTACATTTATTTGCCCTTCATTACACTAAATGTCATGGTTGAAAATATAATCCTTCAAATAAATAATGAAAAACATTTCTTGTTGCATAAAAATAATTCTCAAACTTGACTTCTGGTCAAAGTGTTTAAAGTTACCCACAGCTTTATTTTTGGTCTGTTCATGTTTTATGTGTCAGAGCTTCATTTGCTCATTTTAGTTCCACCATGGGGATGCTTGGCGAGTAGGCATGGAGACCTGAGTGTAATCCCTAGCACCTCATGAGCAGGTTCATGCCTCCAATCCCAACCCTTGCCATGTGGGAGCCAAATGATCAAAATTCAAGTTCATTCTCCTGGCTACACAGTGAACTTGAGATCAGAAAGGGATACGTGAATCCTAGAACACTCAATGGAGGGGTAGAGTTGGGGAGAATACATTTCACCAAATAAAATAGAACATTAACTCTGTAGTTGCTGGTTCTGAATATCTATTGCCTATACATTAAATAATCACAGTTGATTTTACCGGTGGGTCATTTTTTTTTATTACCCATGACAATTAAGGTCAACTTCTAAAACTTTATATGGAAAATAATGCAATATTTGGATTTTCTATATCTTTCTTTTGCAATTTACAATATCTACCAAAATTTTAATGTAGAATACATCCTAATTGCTCATTTGTGTCTGTTTATTTATAATTGTACCTAATTGTCATCTCTTCCAGCTTTCAATAATCTAGAAATTTGACTAACATTATTTAAGTATTCACTCTAAAATCCCAAGATACAGGTTAAATAGAAGATAGCTCCTATGCAATTTTACAGTACTGCATACAAATGTTAGCAAACATATAATATGTTCACATGTATTGTGAACTAAGCATATTAGTTCTTTTTAATTAGGGTACAATAAAAACATATTAACTAGTAGTAGCTACCAATGTGAATTACTCTAATATAGCCAAATTGCTTTGACAAATAGAAAAAGCACATGTCTTATATGCACTTTATTAGTAAGAATACTGATTTGACTGTCAAATTCTCTTACCTTTCTTCCTGCTGAAAGCACGGTTCATGATGCAGAGCCTCCCAATTGCTCAGCTCAGTAATACCCAGTATCCTGTTAAAAACATAAAGGAAGCATTGATGACTAGCCTCTTCTGTTTGGCAATTGTTTTGTTTGCTTTTTTGAAAAAATGTCTTGGTATGTAGCCCAGTCTGGTTCAAATTCAGAATAATTTTCCTGCCTCAACCTCACAAATGCTGGGGTTACATATGCTCACCACACCAGCTCTCAATGCATTTGAAATTACAAAGCATTTAAAAGGTATTAGATACTCAACTTGCAATAGTCTTGTGACTTATTAAGTCACAAAAGGCAATAAATAATGATAAACTTAAATACCTAATGTAATGAGGGACAAGGTTAAGTGCAATGTCAGCTGAAACTTCTCCAAGGCATGCATATTGTTTATTATATTTATCTGTAAATTTAAGGAAGAAGATTATTTTTCTTCTGAACTTGGAAATCAAAGCAGTCAAGCTTGGATTTCTTAACAACCAAGATAGATAGGAAAAAACTTATTATGCTTTTAAAACAAAATCATTTTATACATACATTTACACATACAACAACTTGTCTAAGGGACTATTTGTTCTGCAAAAGGGGCTATCCATCTCAGACACTTCATTTAATTATTCAGCCAATGTTTTCATGTAAAAATTATTTCAATATAACATTCAGACATATCACAAAATAACAGTTTATGGGGAAGTTAATGTTAGAATCTCTATTTGAAGGTTCATGGGAGTGTTATTTTTTTATGAATATGGAAGTAACATCTCTTTAAGAAGGTAGACATTTTTTACACTAATTTATTTATTTATTTATTCATTCATTCATTCATTCATTCATTCATTCACTTTACAGCCTTATAACAGCTTCTCTCCCTCCTCTCCTCCCAGTCTCACCCTCATACCCCCTCCTCCATTCTCCTATCCCCTTTTCCTTAGAGAAGGGGAGGCTTCCCATGGGCACCAACCCAAACTAGTATATCAAATCACAGCAGGACTAGCTGCCTTCTCTCCCATTCAAGGCAGTTCAGCTACTAGAAAGGAATACAAAGATAGGCAACAGAGTTAGAGACATCCTCCATTGAACATCTGCTACATATGTGTGCAGGGCTAGGTCTAGTTCATGCCTCTTCTTTGTCTCAGTGTCTGATAGCCTGCACTGGCACAGGTTAGTTTACTCTGTAGGTCTTCTTGTAATGTCCTTGATAACTCTGGATCCCTCAATCCTTTCCCCTACTCTTCAACAAATCTCTGGGGTATTGTTTGGCTGTGGGTCTCTGGATCTGTTTCTGTCAGCTGCTGGATGAAGTCTCAGGAGACAATGGATAACATACATGTGGTTCATTTACACAATGGAATACTACTCAGCTATTAAATTTGCAGGCTAAAAGATATAACTAGAAAATATCATGAATGAGGTAACCCAGACCCAGAAAGACATGCATGGTATGTATTCACTTATGAATGGATAGTAGGTAGAGTAAAACCTGGTTACAATCCACAAACCCAAAGATGCTAAGTAAAAAGGGACATCTTGAGAATCTCACTCAAAAGGGGAAAAAGAATAGACATATGAAGTATAGGGAGGGAGGGAACTGTGTAGAAGAGGAGTAGGGAGAATAATAGGCAGGAATCAGTAGTAGGGAGAAAGGAAGGCTGGGAAAGAGAATGGAAATCAATATGGAGGTGTGACCCCTAGGACCAGGGAAGCTTCTGGGTGTCTATGGGATTGACCCTAGCTAAGACCTCTACCAAAGTGGTATATGGAGTCTAAAGAGGCTACCTCATGTAGCCAGGTAGAACTTTCAGTAGAGGGAGGGGGATACCATCCCACCCATAAAACCTCCAATCTAAAATGTGTCCTGCCTACAAGAAGTACAAGGATAAAAATGGAGCAGAGATTGAGGCAATGGCCAACCAATGACTAGCCAAAAGTGAGACACAGCTCAAGAGAGAGAGTCAATTCATGATGATATTAATGATACTCTTCTATGCTTGTAGACAGGAGCCTAGGATAACTGTCTTCTAAGGCAAACATTCTTAAACTGATATTGCATAGGCCTTCATTTTTAGTAGGACTATAGTGCTGCCTCAATATTCTTTCACAACTTGGACAATTATTTTTGTCATTACTTCAATCATATGATGTTAAAATACCTGATTAATAATTTGCTTCCATAGCAATCCTTACTCACAGAAATCATTGAATGGGAAGTCATGAGCTTAAGTGAAGAGCCTAGCTCTGTGTACCATTGTCTTTAAAATGATAAAAAGAGAGGGCAACTCAAGGGGAAAAGTTTTTCCTTAGCCTGTTCATTGATACCAAAAACTCAGTTAGCAAAACCAAAAGACCAAGAGCCAACTATGACTCTGGAAACATTTCCCCGACCGTATTTCTAAACTCAGTCTCATCATTCCTTGTGATAATTGTATCAAGCCTTTCATCCTGACAGTGTCAGTCAGCATAGAAGCTACTATTCAGTAGTAGCTACCACTCAGAATCTACTAGTAGTCAATAGAAGCTAGTGAGTCAACACTCAGACATCTCTCATCAATTTCATCTTTTAAATAATTAATTCATAGTGGAATTTCTAGTCCAGAGTATTATAGCACAGTCATATCTGAACAAACTCTCCTGAAACCAAAATATAAAACTAACACAGAAAGTCTAGAGGTACCTGCAGAATAACAACCATTACATAGAAGAGAACAGCAAGGAGATAAACTAATTTCTAAGAGAATTACATTAGTAAGAAATTTTTCATGTTATCAGTGGAGAATGAGTAAAGTCAAAATTAAAGCTTACACTTAAAAGGAAGACCTGTCAGAATGAAACTGTTCCCAAGAAAATTCTTATTTCCAATGTATACACAAGAATATATTAAAGATATATTCAGGAGTGCAAAAAAGACAGTAAAGCAAAACAAATCCAAAATAAAGAGAAAAATTAATGAAAACTATCCCAGAAGAAGAAAGATGGTATACGTCTCAGGGATGCATTTGAATTTACTCTCATGTGAAGAAACAAAGGTAAAAATCAAAGAATTGTTAATTAGAGATAGATACATATTTCCAACGTTCTAGTAGTAATTAGTGGCAGATAAGAAATTAATATGAAAAGAGTGTATAACTTAAAATACAGGCATAGAAATTAGACTAAAATTGAGAAGGAAAGGCCATAAAGATGAAAAAGAAGGAGCTTGAGGAGGAAGAAGAGAAGAGGAGGAGGAGGAAGAGGAGCAGGAGGAAGAGAAGGAGGAGGAAGAGAAGGAGGAGGAAGAGGAGGAGGAGAAGAAAGGACTTCAGAGAGAGAGAGACAGACATAGAGACAGAGAGACAGAGAGACAGAGAGAGACAGAAAGAGAAGAAATTCTAAACTGTAGGAAAATTTCAAGTAGCTAAATACTTCTTGAAGTCAGAGAGGTGAGGAGGGGAGGGAATACTGAAGGGAAAAAGGCTGAGAACTTTCCAAATCTGGTGAAATCTATAGACCCACAGACCCAAGAAGCTCAACAAACCCTACATGGTGCATTCCTGCTTAAATCTTCCAATGGAAAAATAAATTCAAAAGCATCCAATGACAAGGAAGGAGTAAGGACAACAGAGTAGGAGATGGGTGGGAGAGGCTGGAGAGGGGAGAGGAGAGAAACATAGACTTTAGATCTAATTAGACTCTTTTTACCTTATGTTTACTTTACAACCTATAAACACCAGATGGAATACAAAGCACACTTTATATTTAATTTACTTTATAAGTGAAATATCTAAAGCCATCTAAAGTTAACCAATATTGCTTAAATAAACACCATAGTCATGTCTGAATATTATAGGCTAGAAATTAAACCACTGGTATTTATAAGCTGGTTTAGAAGTTTTAAATTGGACAATCTTATAAGGAAAAGCAGTTCTCACCTCCAAAAGTTGCAAAGGACTTTATTGGAATTGATTTACCCTTTACAGTAGAAAAGACAGTGTACAGCCCTTGACTGTGTACAGCCCTTAAAGAAGAAGGTTACCTTTACATAGACAAGACAGGGATGGTTAAAGAGAGCATGAAAAAGGTCAGAGAAGGCCCTGAGAAAAGACAGAGAGAAAGAGAAAGATGAGAGCTGGTACAAGAATTGGTTTTCAACCTCTCCATGGTTGTCAACCCTACTTCCTCCCGTCTTCAGACCAAATAATAACCCAAAATAATTGGGTTATTTTTGCTTACTTCTTTTGGTCTCTGGGCCTTAAATAGGCTGACTAGCTTTGTGAAACAACAAATAAATAGCTTGGTAGTAAAACCTATTCAGATACATTATCATAAGTTAGCTATGGAGGACCACGAGACTCAAGATGAGGTTGTTACTCGATCTAAGGTGTTCCCAAAACCCATCTCCACCCAACCTATAAGAGGGGACTTCTGCCCCTAGACCAAGCAAAAAGGAGCCACCCACAACCTCCTATGACTGGTGATCTGAATTCTTGCTTAGGCTGCGAGGCTAAGCACTGCATAAATATAAATAAAAGATAAAAATATCTCCCTGGGTTCCCTGAGGGACAAGCCTGACTGCATAGGGGTTGATGTCAAAAGTATCCCCTCTCCAGGAAAAAGACATCAGGAGGGGTACGGCCCTCATGCCTCACTGGACAACGACAGGGGGACCAGAGCCATTACAAGGTCCCCTTCAATTACTGGAGGTCAGGCCTTTATCCCCACCTTCGCAAGATTAGAATCACCACAGCCCTTCTATACTGAGAGAAAGGAGATGTCAGGGGCAGCCCTGCTTATACACTGAAGGCCTAAAATCAGCCATAGGCCTAAAAATCAGCAATAGGCCTGTCATACATGTATACTAACACCAAGTCTTTGGTCTCTGTGGAAAAACATTGAAACAGATGGCTATAAGCTATTGTAAACAGGCAGCTTTTGTGGAAATTTACCAGCCTGAGTAGTCATAGACCTTGTAAATAGATAGCCTGGGCAGACAATACCAACTTAGATAAGGTCAAGCAAGTCATAGGCAGAGTCATAGTGACTTGTCCTCTGAACCTTCACCCAGC